TTTATCTGCCTTTTGCCCTACTCCAAAAGCTACCTGAATAGAATTGTTCTTCCAAAATAAGGAAATAAACCAAGAAAATAAAAAGTGTGAGATCCAGGAAATAAGAGCTCCTACATAGGAAAAGGCAAAGGGGATCTCTGTGATTATAAAGAAGGGAAGTCCCAGGTCTGAAGGTATGACTCAAGCAGTAGAATGCCTGCTTTGCAAGCTCAAAGTCCTGAGTTCAAACACCAGTTCCACTCAAAAAGGAAGAGAAAGAAGAGGAGGATTAGTGGGAGGGGAGAAGGAGGGAAATCCCAGACAACACGCACAGCAGGCCTGTGCAGCAGAGTAAGCAGGGGCTGAGAGCTCCAGGAGAAGGTCATCAAGGATGTAGAAAACACAACAGAAAGATTTCATGATGTGTTTGGCTAGAGAAATTTTATATTTTTGCAGATGAGGTCAGGAATGTATTCTTTATAATAGTTAAATAAAAGTAAATCAAGAAATTAAAATAGGTCCCGGTGCTGGTGGCTCACACCTGTAATCCTAGCTACTTAGGAGGCAGAGATCAGGAGGACCACGGTTCAAAGCTAGCCAGGGCAAACAGTTCAGAAGACTGTATCTTGAAAAAACCCTTCACAAGAAAGGGCTGGTGAGTGGCTCAAGGTGTAGGTCCTGAGTTCAAACCTTAGTACCACAAAAAAAAAGAGAAAGAAATTAAAATAGGTCAATAATTAATCACTTCCAGAGGGTTTATATAAAAAGAATAGTCATAGTACTTAGTATTTAGTGAAACTAAATACACCCCCAAAACTGAATTATACTGACATTATTACATTGCTAAACTGGGATCAATAGTTACATGGTCATAAAATACAAACTCTAAATAATAACTTAAAAATGTAATATAAAAAAGTTGAAAGGATGAGAAGAAGGGAAGAGGGCATGTAAGATAACTGTTAATATCTTCCATGGTAGAAAGTTAGTTGACAATGCCTAAAATGGAAATATGAGCATAAAACTTTTAGTACTGATATTTTAAAATGTGTGCCTAGAAAAAAAATAGGCTCCATGTTAATCTACCTTTGGATAATCAGCTGAAACTTCCTAGACCATTTCCAGAAACCGTCAAATTTGACATAGCTATATTGCTCCAAATAATATAATCTAAATTGTCCCCAAAACTGAGTTCTACTGACATTGTACTTCTAACTATATATAACAGTTCAAATATGGTTGACTGCCTTAAAGCACCAGTATTACCTGATAAATAGCAAATTGGGTTTTCTTTTATTATTATTAATTTATTCACATGTGCATACATTGTTTGGGTCATTTCTCCCCTGTGTCCCCTCCCCCACCCTTCTCCTCTCTCCCCCCTTCCTTTCCAGGCAGGTCCTGTTCTGCCCTTTTCTGTAATTTTGTTGAAGAAAAGACATAAGCATAATAAGAAAGACAATGTTTTTGCTAGTTGAGTTAAGGACAGCTATAAAAAGAGTCCTAGCATTGCTTCCATATACAAATGTGTTACAACCATGTTGATTCATCTCTAACTGATCTTTACACTGGTTTCTGATCCCCTTCTCATGTTAACCTCTGTTGCTTTAAGGTTTCTGTATTAGTTCCTCTGCAGTGGGGACGTGTTTTGGGTTTTCTACCTAGTCCTATATCTCCCTTATGTGCTCTCCCCTTGTCATGTGATCCAAGTCCAACCACATTGCTGCATTTGCCCTGGATCTAAAGTCTGCATATGAAGGAGAACATACAACATTTTGTCTTCTGAGCCTGGCTGACCTCACTCAGAATGAGTTCCATCCATTTACCTGCAAATGATAAGATTTCATTCTTCTTCATGGCTGAGTAAAATTCCATTGTGTACAGGTACCATACTTTCTTTATCTATTCATTAGTAGTGGGGTATCTTGGTTGTTTCCATAACTTGGGTTTTCTTTTGCTTCTTGTTAACTTGTCCTTTGGAGCAGATAAACCATGTAAAATAGCCATAGGAAATTCCCTGGAGTGTTATTTTTCTCTTGCCAACCTCTATGTGATTTGGGCGTTAAATAAAGGAACATCAGGTACTGGATCACACAAACATGGGATTGGATTTCAGCTAGTAGAAGCAATTAGCTGAGATCAAGGACAAGACAAAAATAGGACGAGTATAAGAGTAACAGAGTTATACTTTCCACTTCCACTTTGATTGAAGGACACACTTGCCCCTTCTGTATTTCTCATTTACTAGGCATTTTTAAGACACGAGTAATGAAGGGAGCAAGAGCTTAGCCTTTGAAATCAATTTGATAGAAAAAGAGCAAGATGCTAGATATTATTGTAAAGAAAATCTTCAATTTTCTGAGTGCCCTCTTTTAACATGAGCAGATAATACCTTGGTGCCATTTTTGTTGTATTTTTATTTAGGATTGTTTTAAAATAGAATCAAATAATGTATGAATCTGCAATGTGCTTCTAGCTGTATGTGAGTCTTGTTTTCAGAGTATCAGAGCTTACATATTTGTCCTGCGTTTTGTGGAGATTGTTCAACTAAAGCAGCATTCTTTGCCCTCTCAGTTTTGGAGATTCTCTGGGCCTCACTATGACAGAGTCTGCAATAATAAACCCATGTGTTGTTATTTATTTTTTTTAATTGTTGTGCTGGGTGGGGCTACATTGTAGCATTTACAAATTCATACTTGAATTCACCCCTTCCACCATTCTTCTTTATTCCCCCCTCCCCCCTTCCATTACCAGAGTAGTTTCAACAGATCTCGTTTTTTCACTTACATACATGCACCCTCCTACACCTTTTCCCCACCTCCTCCTCCCTCCCACCAGTGCCACCCCGCCTCAGCCACCAGTACCACACCCCCCCCCCCCGGCAGGATCTGTTCCACCCTCCTGCTCCTGTTCTCCAATTTTATAAAAGAAAAAAAAAGACATTTTTGTTTGTTTTTCTTGATCATTTTAAAAAATGTATGTGTGCAGTTGCAAAAAGTAACAGTTCAAGATATGATGGTAATTTCTTTATCATCTATTAAGATGCCAAGATGCTTAGTACAAATTTCCACAGATTTATCGGTTAAATCAACATGAACCATGTGGGCAAGGCTTCAGGCAAGGATTCCTGCTTGAGAATATTTAAAAAAAAAAAACTTCCTTCAAAACATAAAACATCCCTCAGGTTCTACTATGTGTCTTTTAACTTTTTCATGTCACTTTCTGAATATCCCACTGCAGTATAATATGCATGCAGAAAACAGCACATTTCCTAAGAGAACAGAGCACTGCTGCATAGCCAGCACTCAGATAAGCAGAACACGAGTTCCTATGTCTCCTTTCTCAATCACTATTCCACAAGGATAAACACTGTGCTACCCTCTAACAGCATAGAGTAGTTTTCCCTAGTTTTCATACATTCTGGAAAAGTGCTCTTGCTTCTTGTTTCTGTCACTCAGCATTATTCATAGGAAACCCATCCATATTGTTGAGCACAGTTACAATGAGCTATGACCGTGTGGTCCTCCATTATGTTACCATACTACAAGTTTCCTATTTCTGCTACTGTTGATAGACATCTAGACATTTCTGTGCATGTCTTTGGGCTTCTCTATTGAGTATTTATCTAGGAATGCACAGCTGTATCATAGTATATGTACAGGCTAAACTTTAATAGATGCCACCAGACAGTTTTTCAAAGTAGTTGTGTCAATTTTTAACTTTCTATTCAGCTCACTTTTATTCAATTATATTCTCAGGAAAGAGAATATAATTAGATCATTTTTTCTTCATTGTAGGTTTCAGAATTATGACTGGTGGTTATACAGTAGGGATATGACCCATTTAAATGAATTTCCCACATAAAATAGAATGCTCTGAGTAATGAATCATAATAAAAAATTTTCTCTGAAGATATTGGAGCAAGGTCTTGGTCATTAGAGATGTTTGCAGTGTCACTGCAAAAGGAATAAATTTACCAGGCTCTATATGGGAAAGTAAGTACAAGCAATCTCTCAAATGGACAGTTCAGATGGCAACCACAGTCATCGGCAGTCAGCAAAATCCCCAGTGGAGGGCTAGGACTAAGAGCCAGACAATTGGAGGCTCTGTTTCAACTCTCCCAACCTGGATGAGCCGTTTCATCTGTCTGAGCATTTATTTTCTCATATACAAAACAAGGGTCTTAATCCACATTTTATAGTAAGAATAACATGAAAATTTCAGGTATGATTATGTGTAGTAGACAGAGCTTATGTTTTTACAGCAAGGAGATAAAAAACATATTCTTAGATCATGACATTAAATCCTTAGTTTTCAATTATATTCCTAGAAAATATATTCTCACTTATCTTGTTTAGCCCCGCATTTTGCTTTTTTTTTTGGTGGTTACTGGGGTTTGAACTCAGAGCCTCATGCTTGGTAGGTAGGCACTCTACTACTTGAGAGCTGGTGAGCCCTTGTTTGTGAAGGATTTTTTTTTTGAGATAGGATCTCTTGAACTATTTGCCCAGGCTGGCTTCCAACCACAATCCTCCTGATCTCTGCCTCCTGAGCAGTGCCCAGCTGTCATTCTTTTCTTTCTTTTTTGTTTTTTTCAGTACTGGAATTTGAAGTCAGGATCTACACCTTGAGAAACTCCACCATCCCTATTTTTTGAGATTGGGTCATGCAAACTATTTTCCTGGGCTGGCTTCATACCACAATCCTCCTGATCCTGATCTCTGCCTCCTGAGTAGCTAGGATTACAGGCAGAGCCACCAGAGCCCAGATATTATCTTTTGTGTGTATGTGTGTGTGGTACTGGGGCTTGAACTTAGGGCCTTCACCTTGAGCCACTCCACCAGCCATATTTTTGTAAAGAGTTTTTCAAGATAGGATCTTGCAGAACTATTTGCCCTGGCTGGCTTTGAACTTCAATCCTCCTGATCTCTGACTCCTGAGTAGCTAGGATCACAGTCATGAGCCACCAGTGCCTGGTTTATTATCTTCATTTTTAACATTAGAATATTTCATGGTTCAACTTCAGGGATTTCACTAATTAAATCATTAACATGCCCTAGAGGTCATTAGTTTACTAGTTAGTTTACTAATTACATTGTGAGGTTTTTTTTGGTAATTCTATCCATCCAACTTATCAAATATCCCCCAGAATGCATGTTTATGCTCAGGTAATTTACTTAACCAGTGTCTTGGACATCATTATTTATTGAGCCAGTTGATGAAGACTATTTTGTTTCAGATAATGTAGTTTTTCTCTCTAGTTCAAAAACTGCATTATGGAGCACCTTTTGGTGCTGTTGCTTTTTTGGAGTGAGTTGTTTTGAAAAACAATTTTGATGTGATAGAGTATTATAAAAGCCAACCAGTTTGCTTCTTTGGGGCACTTATGGGAGCAAAAGGATGATGAGGAAGAGCTTCTTAATGTGTAAGAAATGAATAATCTGCCTTTTCATTTCATTCTATTTTCTGTTCTCTTTTGTTTTCCCTCTATGTCTCTGCATATGCTACTGCAGTGTGTTTGACACAGTTATGCAGCTGATGAGAAATCTGTTTCTATTGCAACCTGGAAGCCACACTTGAAGGCCTTGCACACCTGCAGCCCTACCAAGTAGATATCAATGTGACAGCTGGTGCTGTAGTTCAGTCTTTTCTCACCTGTTAAAAAAATACACACACACACACACAAAGTGTGGATTTTTGACTTGTCTTATTCTCTATTGCTCTTAAACGGATGTAAATCTTTTTAGTAGTAACCTGAGCACAAACCTGCACTGAATCAGTATCATTACTCACCATCCACAGACCTGGATTAAAGATTAAAGGAACATAAACTTTCATAGGGATCTCTTTCTACTATTTCAGGCTAATTTTCTAATATCTCATAAAGCCTATCAGAATTCCAAAGGCAAACACCATGGTTCTTGAAAAGTCAGGGTTATTTATCTTCCACCCATCACCTGACTTCGAGAGAGAATTGCCTTAAAAGCAATGTCGCGTTGCACATTTAAGTCTGCCCAAGTCATTTCTCATCTGATCCCCTTATAGGATGTCCTCAAGCTTTCACTTGGAGACCAAACTAATATCATTACCAAAAAAGAAAGAGAAAGAGAACAATTGGAATCTAACAGGATTATGGTACTGACCACAAACACTCGAAATTTCAAAGTAATAACTATTTCCATTCACATTTCACTGGCCAAAGCAGGCCATCCACTATGTCTAAACTAGCACAGTCCTAGCATATACCTGAAGTAAAGGAGAACCAGAAAAACTATTAACAGTCCTAATGATCACCACAGCGATCTTTAATTTAAAAAAAAAGTTTAAGTCCTAGAGTCCTGAACTCCAGTTCAACAAACAGGGAGTATGGTAAGTCATAATCAGCATCCAAGTTAAGAAGCCCTCACTGAAACACCAAAGTCAGTATGTCACGAGAAAGTCTATGACACCCCAGCTTGATGAGAACTGTCAGTTCTTCAGCTTGTTCAAAAGGTATTAAAGTACTTATCTGCCTTAGCGTTTTAGAGCACTGGCCATTTCCCTTCATAACTCAACAAAACCTTACTTAACCTTAGTGGTTTCATGAGACTCAAGGCACTTCACAAAGCCACCTTGTTCTTACGGATCTGGAAGGAGGTCAGCTGGGAACATCTTCCTGATTCATTGCTTGGCATGCCAGGATTAGCGGCAGGCTGTGGTACAGCATCATGCAATCCATCAGGAAGCAGCAAAGTTATTGTAGCTACCAGGATTTGTTAAGCGGCTTCCCTGTTTTGCCCTGGGCATCTCTTTTCCTACTCACAGAGAAAAGAATAAACACTGGCAAGATGATTCCTATGCACTAGTAGGACACATCTCCTAGAGGTCTGTGTCTAAAACTGTCAGCACCTGGGACAGAGATATTCCTAGCCCCCTGCCTCCCTAGGACTTTGGGGACACAGAATCATATCAAGGACTCAAGCCTGAATGCTGTTGAGTGAATATATGGATTCACATTCTCTTTTCATTTAGATCTTGAAATTTAGTTGAATTCCTTTTTATTAAATATTACATCCTTTCAAAGTTTTGGTGTAAAAAAAAAAGAACATCACTCTTGGGTCATCTATTTCCTTGGGTACATGAATCAAAAATGAGAATTACATGGAAATTATATATCTCATCTTCATGAATTGTTCTAGATAAATGTAAAAGAGAAAGGTTAGTAGGAAAAATAATAGAAGGTTCTCAAGTGACAGAAGAAAATGGTGTATTATCATATGTGATTATCTGGCTTTCCACTTACTGCAGTTTTTGGATTAAAAGTCATTCTGAAGCCTGGAGAAGGTATTTAATAATGAGTCAAATTCTCCCAGTGCATCAACTAATATTTTGCTCACACAATTTCTTCTTTTCCTCTGATACTTTCCTGGTTTAAATGGGGGTGGAGGTGGAGGAGGATTGATGCAAACACTGTCTTCATCCTGCCCCCTTGTGACTCTCAGTCATCCCTCACTCACCTTCCCCTGCAACCTCATTAACCTGAGGTTCAGCCCAATAGACTGAAGAACAGTCATTTATCTGGAATGACACAGCAGTCACTAGCAAAATTCGTAAGAATCTAGATGCCCTAATGCCTCTCCTCCAGGGATACTTTGGTATTCTTGCAGTTCTTGTTGTTGTTGTTGTCTTGTGGTTCCTTGTTAAATCAGTGAAAATGTAATGCAAATTAGGGGCTTTTTCCCTAAGAATAATATTCAATGCACAAAGCATCAAAACTTTGCCTATAATTTTAGTGTATTCACAGACTCCCTGAAGCCAAGTTCAAAACCTTTGCTTTAGAAAGAAAACCTACTTAGTCAAAGTTTTTAAGTCTGCGAGAAGAATAATTTACAATGACCTAGAGGTATATTTTTACACTTATAATTGCCGGCTTACTGAATACAGAGTGATGTAGTAAGAAACAGACCAGAACTTCCTTTTATTTAGATAGTATATTTCCCTTTAAGACTGAGAGTTTAAGAACTTGTACAGAAATAAGAAGATCATTCACTCTTCTATGTATCCATTCAATAAGTATTCACTGAAAACCTACTATGAGCACAACACTGTTCTAGGGCCTAGAAATTATGCAGTAGTTGGGGGGAAAAAATGAACAAGTTAGAATCTAAGGGCTCAGGGAGTATTTATTCAAGGGATACTGGGGATAGATAATAAAAAATAAATATGTAGAATATAAAATATGTGAGGTGACAATAGTGTTAAGGAGAAAAGTAAAATAGAGAAATAAATAAGAGAGTGTCAGGGGCTGCAATTTTAAATAGGTGGTCAGAGAAAAGATCATGTTATCTACAGCATCATCACCATCATTATCGTTAAAGCTATTGTTATTAAAAAATGCCAGCCCTGTGTGCTGGTTCCCCACTGTTGCAGAGATGCAGTAGGATGCGTTCACTCCACAAGCTCGTCTCAGGGAGTAGTATAAAACTGTGTGGGGGAGAGATGCACAGGCAGAGGGTCATGCCGTACCCACTCAGACTCACCAGGAATAGAGATCAGCAGTTTCTTGTTCTCTCTTTTCAGACCTAGCTTTTCTCTTACATGCCACACATCTTAGAGGTCTGAGCAGTTGCTATTTCAAAGTTTTGTTTAAAAAAAAGAAGGGTTTGTAGAGGGAAATATTGTTCCTGATTTTCCTCTCAAAGTCAGTGAAGGTTATGGAAAGGATGAAGCACAGGTAAAAGTGCTACTTTATAGAGTAAGTGGAATATTTTATGAAGCTATAGGAAATTATCAAGCTCCAAGGATGCCAAAGGTACTTTAAGAAGTCAGAATTTAGAGACTACGTGATACAGCCTTCCCATTTAATCATAAGAGCACCAAGACCCACAAGAAAGTGAGGTGCTTGTGCAAAGGCCCACAGTACATTTGCAAAGAGTAGTGGCCCTGCACAGTGTTGCCTAGACCTAAATTTACTACAACGATTTATTTAAAACGTCACCCAACAGTAGGCTAGAATCAGAGAGATTTTCTACGTACCTTACTTACTCCGTGGGAATTCCTACTTTAAAGAACAGGAGAAAAAAATAATCTACGTCAACAGTGATGAAGTATAAAGTCATGGACACACAGATGAATGAATCCAGATTTAGAAGTCTGGAAGTCTGCCTTAGGCACAGGAACTGCAGCTGCATTGTAACCAGCAATACTAATGCTGGGTACAGCAGATTCATCACCAGCACTTTTTTCTTAGCCATGGATAACTATGGCAAAGGAAGAGTCTATGGTGTGTGGCCAACTGTGGGCAGTATTGGATTTGCCAATTAATGCTGCCTCAGATCTGCACCAAAAGAACATATGATATAAAATTGGGTACATTAATTATAAGTAATGTTACGTTTGTGGATCCTACTTGAAAACAGTTATTCAAGGTACCTGATTTCCCCAGTCTCCAATTTGGCCATTATCAAGTTCTATAAATGTATCCACCGGTTTGTCATCATTTCTCTTCTGTCCGCCTGCACCTGAAGGAAAGAACAAGGGGAAACATTGAGCAGGTTTGTGATTTCTCTTTTTGCTACATGTTTGTTTATAAATCTGATGCCTAACAGATGTTTTAAATGTGTCTCATGAGTAAAATCGATCAACAATACAAGGTGATTAAAAGTGACTTTCACAGATTGCCTGCAAAGTTTGCTGGGGTTTATTGATTTTTTTTCCTCCTTAGAAGCAGAATCATCTTCCCTAACTCACTCCCTGCTTTAACAGACTGCAGGGCACAGAACATTCTGGAGACAAAAGTAATTATACACCTTGATTACTCCACGATGCCGTTTTTCCAGACAGAATTCTTATCCAAGTGTTCAAAAGTAGTAATCTAGAGGGTTTAGAAATGAAGGATGTTTTTCTGAATGCTATGGATTTGGACAGCAGCCCATGATTCACTTTCCTTCATTGGGATCCTGCTTTTGAGGGGTGAGAGTTTTTGTTGTATTATTTTTTAGCAAGAAGTACACTGCGTACAGGAGGAGAACATCTCTCTGGGCTATCTCCAGCCCACTGAGGCTTAGTCAGGTGATCCAGTTCAAAAGAAGAGTCCCTCTGTCCCTCAGGAAGATGATACCCCACAGAAAACTTCTCCAAATAACTCAAGTTCACTCTCCCGTGCCCTACAAGGAAGTGCTTTATCAGATTAAATCGAACTAGACCTAGAGGGAACAGAAAATAAAAGAGAACATTTTCATCTGTGCTAATAAGTAACAGGAAGGGTTTAGATTTGGGAGAAAGACCCTGAAGAACAGAGATAGGTGGATCCTGCACTGATGGTGTAAGGAGTGGCAGCAAGGAAATACCAGGTGCCTGGAAGGGAAGAAGAGCACATTTTTCCTATCCTTGGCACTTGTTTCAGTAGACAGGAAACAAAGACATCTCCTTCCCAGAGTTGGCTTCTAGGTGGGAGACAATATGTGTCTAGCTTTGTTTATAGTAATAATGGCATTAATTATAAAATATTTATTCAGTAATGAATTGAGCTTTAAAAGTTTACACAGGGTAATGGGGCCTTGGGTTAACCATTCTTGTATTAGCACTTTAAAAGATTACCAAATTAGGACAAATATATTCATCTATACA